CAACATTCAAAAACCTTTGCGTGGCGAAACAACACTGTTCAAATGCGACTGAGAAACCTTGGGTGTGGGTCCAGAACGAATGCACTTATATTGCAAGGCAAGCGTTGGATGTGACTCCAGAGCGAATGCAATTGCTCTTATTTGGGGGAAGCATTGGATGTGACTCCCAAACCGAAAATCGCAAACCTTGGACGCGATCTCTTGGCCGAATTCCATTGTAATTGTTTTACCGTTGCTACAGGAAATGCGTTGGAGCTCTTGTGGCTGGATGCGCTTCCGGGACGCCACGCCTTCGCGCCCATCTTCTCTTGGCCAGGCTGCTGCGCGTCCAGCAAGTCTGAAGCCTCCGTGGAGGCGCGGGGCACCTGCGGGGTAGCTTCTGCAACAGCCTGAGTTGGCGGGTCTGGCTGCTCAATCTCAAACGGCTGGGTGTCATGCGTCTCCTCTGCCATTTGCGCAAATGAAAGTTGTTTTAGGACCCTGTTCTAGACCAAGAAAATGGCTGCGGGCAGGACGTGTGGCTCATCGCAAGCTCATCGGTTAGGGCTTGTGGGCTCATCGGAGGCTCATCGCAGTTCTGCCAGACTAAAGCTAATTGACAAGGTGTGTGGTTTCCAGGACGCTCATCGCACACTCATCGCACGTGGGGCCATGCTGCTCATCGGACCCTCATCGCACTGGTTTTGGAGCCTCATCGCTGGCTCATCGTTGTCGATGCGGGAGCTCATCGATGGCTCACCGCGCAAGTTGTAAAGCAAAATAAACGGGGGTCTGGGGTTTTGTGTGGGGGCTCATCGAGGACTCATCGCATGAATTTGCCCCCCCCTCATCGGTGGCTCATCGACGCCAGTTTTCCACTGCCTTGAACACCCTTGCATCAATCACAAGTGATGGCTTTTTTTGTTTCATTGAATTGCCGCACCACCCCAAACCCTAAATTGAAGGTTTGAACAATCCCCAACCCAAAACAGTGAGCTGCAAACACACCCTAAACCCTAAGAGGCGGGGGAAGCGAGTCCTCATCGCAAATCGTCACAGAGGCCCAGGCCTCAAGCGGTTTTCCAAGTTCTGGCACCCCCAAACCCTTCCCCAAACTCCCCAAAACCAGGGTTTGGGGGGCCCGGAACTCAAGTGTTTTGGTTTTCCAGCCAGTGAGGCCTCCATTTAGGGGGGCGTTATGAAAACATCCTGCGTGAAGGACCCTTTCAAATCTGCCATTCAGGGCAGAACAGTTGTGCTTTTGCTTTCTGCCTTTTCAGGGAGACGGTCCCAGCGCCAAATTGGCCCACCTTTTCGCGCCCCCCACGAAAGAAAATGACTGCCTCTTCCACCGAGACGCGACAGCTCTCTGAGGCGGGAGCCAATCACGTCTTCCTGATCGCCTGCACGTGCGTGCACCCACAGAGCTGCCAAGCAAGTCGGGCTGCGGGCGCCGGCCTGCTTCAAGGTTTTGAAGGAAAAAGGCAAGCCTTGGCAAGAGGTCGGTTTCTTCTGCTTCCATGCCAAACTCCTTGGAACAGCTGAGTTGCACGCGTGCTGGGTCACATCTATTGAAGCCCTTTTGGAAAACGCTGCAGTTTAGACTTGTCTCTAGATGTGTGTCCACTAAAACCGATTCCAAGAGCCTCAGGGCGTCGCAAATCTCGTCATGCAGCCGGCAAGTCTGCCTACATGCTGGAATATTGCTTCCCGTGTGAGGAGATGCAATCTGACTGTGAGAGCCCCGCCAAAATAGACATTGAAGCTCAATGGCAAGCCTTGGGCAAGCACTCTCGAAGGGCCGACCCTCTTCGCAAGCAAGGTTCAACTCTTTTTTAAATCGTTGAGGCAAACCTTATCCAAGGCTTCCGCAAGGAAGGCTTTGGGGGGGCAAATTTGGGGCCCCCCAAAAGCAGGCGAAGCACGGGAGCGTTTTCAAATGTTTGGTTCAGGACAGAACAGCTTTTTGTTCATCCGCAGTCCGAACACTTCTCGAAATGCGGTTGGTGTTTTCAAAAGGAAAGGAAACACGCCGTGTTTACAGTTTTGAGACAAGCCCAGTTTGGAAAGCGCAGCTCTCTGAGGCTGGAGCCCATCACGTCTTCCTGGTCGCCTGCATGCGCCCGCAGGGCTGCCAAGCAAATCGGGCTGCAAAAGCCGGCCTGCTTCAAGGTTCTCGGGAAAAAAGGCAAGCCTTGGCAAGAGGTCGGTTTCTTCTGCTTCCATGCCAAACACCTTGGAACAGCTGAGTTACACGCGTGCTGGGTCACATCTATTGAAGCCCTTTTGGAAAACGCTGCAGTTTAGACTTGTCTCTAGATGTGTGTCCACTAAAACCGATTCCAAGAGCGTCAGGGCGTCGCAAATCTCGTCATGCAGCCGGCAAGTCTGCCTACATGCTGGAATATTGCTTCCCGTGTGAGGAGATGCAATCTGACTGTGAGAGCCCCGCCAAAATAGACATTGAAGCTCAATGGCAAGCCTTGGGCAAGCACTCTCGAAGGGCCGACGTTCAACTCTTTTTTAAATCGTTGAGGCAAACCTTATCCAAGGCTTCCGTGCCCAACTCCTTGTTACACAGGTGCTGGGTCTCATCTAATGACGCCCTTTTGAAAATGCTGCAGTTTAGAAAAATTCTCAGATGTGCGCCCACTAAGCTCGATTCAAAAGTCTCAGGGCGCTGCGAATTACGTCATGCGGCCGCCAGCCTGCGCAATGAGCAACACAGTGGTTCGTTAAGTCAAGGGCCTGCACGCCACTAAGCTCGATTCAAAAGTCTCAGGGCGCTGCGAATTTCGTCATGCGGCCGCCAGCCTGCGCAATGAGCAACACAGTGGTTCGTTAAGTCAAGGGCCTGCACGCCACTAAGCTTGATTCAAAAGTCTCAGGGCGCTGCGAATTTCGTCATGCGGCCGGCAGCCTGCGCGATGAGAAACACAGTGGTTCGTTAAGTCAAGGGCGTGCGTGCAAACGGCTTCGCGCTCATACCCAGACGCAGAGTGGAGCAGGCGCATGGCCGAAGGGCTCATGCGCAACCGTGCCACCAGCCTCCTATGGGTTTACAAGCGCACCCTTTGCAGGACGGCAGTTCGGTTCCTGGCCACCAAGCCCAAAAAGAGGGTGTTTCATTACAAGACCCGCAAAGCTTCGAAATCCAGCGATCCTGGGATGTGGGTCAACGGTGGCCGGGACCTTGCGCAGAGCGCCGCCTACACGACCCGCTTCTGCAAAGCTGTCTTAGTGGTGTGGTCAACCAGGCGGAGCTGGGTTTGCAGTAAGGGAGCTCAGGAACCTCAGGTCTACCGGCGCCTCTGGATTAAGATGTTTGGCGATGACGAGGACGCCAGTTATTTGAAACATCATGAAAACACTCAAGAACAAATTCACGGCCATTTGATTGTCTACGAGTTTGTTCCTTGCAACACTGTCAAACCTTGCAGGATTTGCAGCCAAAGGAGCCTGAGGCCCACGCCAGCTTGGACCGCACTTTGGCGGCGGTGGCCGCTTTGAGCCAGGCTTTGGGCGATTGACGCGGAACGCAACCCGGAAAAGTCAGCGTGCTGTGTGCCAAATGAGGGACTTCTGTCAAGCCCACGATCGACTTGAGTTCAGACCCCAGCCAAAACAAAACTGCGAAACCAACAAGCGCCCGAAACCCAGGCTAACCAGCAACGTGTAGCGGCTGCAACTTTGGTCAACAGAAACGCACAAACCTGACACGCGCTTTTTGAAGTGTTAGCCAAACGCTACTTGCCTAAAACTCAACCTTTGAGATATCAATGCATTTTTTGCAGGAATGCGTTTGCAATTTGCAATGTGTTGATCTTCCAGCAATCCAGCACATATACAACTTAATTTGGCTCAAGGCCTAACCCTATACTCGGCGCATCCAGATAGGACAAAACCCCAAAATGCGCTGCTCCTTGCAGTGCTCCTTGCAGTGTGTGTGTG